AAGGTTCTTTCTTTTTTTATGTTTGTAACCTCATAACTCCGTTAGTTGTATACCCATTTTGGAAAATTCATTCATTTTTGTCTAAAAGAATATAGTTACAGATTGATTCAATAGAAGTATTATAACAATTGATTTAGTAGTTTATTTTTTAATTAACTGGTTATGTCACAATTGAGTTAAAATAAAATATTAAATAATATTGAATGTAATGAACACACGCAATGTATTTTATCTATATTCCTTTTTTTTCTACGGAATTTCGCGGCTGTCTTTTGGCCACAACAGAATATCAGTGTTTTGCTCTTTGGAGGGCAAAGCAATAAGCCGAGTTGTGACCATTTTTTTGATACTGTGGTACACGCATAAAGGGAAAAATTTTTGCTTATTTTATGCATTTTGTTTTTATTTTTTGTATATGTATATTTTTTTATATTTTTTCACTGTACATTTATGTCTATTGTTGTTTGTGTGCTGTAAGTAACGCAAAAAAATTTTCTATCGATCTATCTATCAATTAATTAAAGTCGGTTTTTTTTTCGTGGAAAACAATCTTTAATTATATAATTTCCTGATTGCAAAATCTTGAATAGAATATAAATAAGGCAAAATATAAAACATAAAAATACATTATGTTCTCACGAGAGTTGCTTTTCATGACAAGTTTTGTAGATTTATTATATTTTCTAACATGGAAACAAAAGTTTTGATTACTTTTAGACTTTATATTTAGTATGTTCTACATTGTACTGTAACGAAATAGGAAATATTTCAAATTTACATACTGTAATAAAATTATAAAAAAACAACCAACTTTCACCCGCATTTTTTTTACCTCTGTGTTATAAAAAAGAAACTGACTTGCCATTATTTCACTTAATTTAATTTGTAAAAAAAAATCTCTCTTTTCGTCCACTTCATTACTGAAGGTCGTGTCCTTAAAAGATGTCTGCTGCCTCTCTTATGATGTTACTCCATTTCACACGGTCTTCAGCTTCTTGCAGAGCAATGCAATTGGCAGTCCCGTAACGGCGGTTACTTGGTCCGACCATCGACTAGATCGTCCGCGTGGTCTTTTCCCCTCTATCTTGTCTACAACCATTAGCTAGTCCAGAATGTCGAACTAAATTAAATATAACTCATACTATTCACCGATTATATAACGTTTTATGGGTGAGATATTAAAATAAAAAAAAATAATAACTAGCTTTTTAGTTTATATATTTGTAATATTAGTTCAGACTAGCTGCGCTCCTGGCTTCTCACACGTTTAAGAGGTCGGTGGTTATGAAATAAAACTCGCGTCATTATAGGGGAATCCAACTCATGTATTAACAGTTCCACAACTTTGCAATTAAAATATGTATTAAAGCGACTTACCAAATTATACGTCTTTACTGGTCAATGTTCAATCAACAACTGTCCACTGTTGGTCGGTACTTCTAGTTTTTATGTAGACTATTTTGGCGGGTAAATAATTATTCCGGAAATGACAAATCACCATTTTGTAGTTAAATCAAATCAGCAACAGTGGCACTTGACAATAGTTATGATACAAATATAATAAAATATTGGTATACTAAATGTAAAGATGTTAACACACGTATACTAATGAAGAAAATGAGACCAAATTTTCGCTACATTTTCTTTCACGCAAACTTTGCTTTGACAATTACAAATACAACGAATAAAGAATTATCTAAATATACATATAGACATATTTGTCACGCCTGTCTCCCATTAGGGTAGGCAGAAACAATGGAAATTTTAACGGCCCTCTCTCACTACTTCCACATTCAAATAGATGCAAATAAATTCCTTTATAAAGGTTGGCAGCACACCTACAATTTGTCTGATGTTGAGGATGGTGGGTGGCGGTAATGACTTGTCATCAGATGAACCACTTCCTTGTTTGCCCCCCCCCCTGTGTTTTAAAATAAAATGTTAAGCTATAAATTTGTCATTTTCTAAATTACTATTACCTTTTTTACAATTTACAAACACGACATAGAATAGGCCTCCCCTTCCTATCCCGTGGGTGTCGTAAGAGGCGACTAAGAGACGGCGAGGAATGGGCAGCAGTGTCCTTCTTAAAACATCTCTAAAACCTAAGTGCGGTTATAAGGAGCAAGAAGGATTGTTAGTAATGCGGACGTTAAATCCTCATTGCTAGCAATATACCCTGTCAGGTCAACCTCCACGCCGTTCCCCCTGGAAACCATCATGATTAATTATTGTCGAATTCGTTGCGACGGGCCAACTGACGTAACTTCATCCTCACCTATCATCCCTCACTGGTGCCTCGCCGATGTATACCGATAGCGCGGGTGGGGTTACCCTTCCATTATCATCCGTTAAAAAAGAGTGCGATTGCAAATAGTGTTTGATACCCATTCTTAGCCGGAATTACACTGGCCGTGTAATCCCGGCAAAGAATGGGCCGCCCCTTCCTCTTCCGTGGGTTTTATAAGAGCCGACTAAGGGAAGGTCGAGAGATGGGCAGCAGCGTCCTTCTTAAAACATATCTAAAGCTTAACTGCGGTGCCAATCCGCCTGCCAAACATGGCAACTACTGGCAAACCTCCCAAAGCGAAAGCTTATGTTTAACAGTGGACAGTTAAAGGCTAATATAACGAAACACGAATAGTTAATTAATGAAGCCTTTATTGAAACTCTATAGTGATTCAACAGAATTGTATTCGAAGGAAAAAGTTTATTATTTCCCAATTAGTAAAACTTTGTTGCGTATTTAAACAACTTCACAAACAAAGTTTCTGTTCTCATTACATATCTACCTACCTACCTACAGTCTAGTCGGCCGAATTTAAATAACCGAGCCAAAACTGTAATCAATTAACGGAGTTTGTAAACGAAATGTTATATTTGTTAATTGTAAATATCGTAGGTGGGATGGCGGTCAGGTTATACAAGCGAAATTTAAATATAAGTAACAAAAAAAAACGATATTATTTGGCACAGTTGTATCTAAAGTATATCATTACTATAATATCAGCCTTAATTGTCCACTATTGAACATAAGCTTAGCCTATAAGGAGTTTTCCAGTAGTTGCCACACTTGGCAGCCGAATTGGCAACCGCAGTTAGGCTTTTACAGATGTTTTAAGAGGGACGCTGCTGCCCATTCTTTCAGTATAAGATCCCTTAGTCGCTTGTTACTACACCCACGGGAAAGGTGGATGGTCATTTCTAAATCATATGATTCATCCGAAAAAGATTAAACAAGTCATACTGTGGCGACATAACGCTAGAGTTGTAATAGTATATACTCGTATTTTATATATATATATATATATATATATATATATATATATATATATATATATATATATATATATATATACACAATAATAAACATAAGTTTTATAAATAATATAGACTAGTAACATGGACAGTGTCGCGTATTCAGCTTGTAAACGTGAAAATTTAAAACAACGTTTTAACTAGAAGAATCTAAATTAATTTCACTGTAAAATTATTGTGAACTTGTCCATTCATTGCTCATTTTGTAAGTAAACTATTAGAATAAACCTTTATTAGTGTAAACTGAAAGGAGACTGATTTAATTGAACATAAATATCTCGAGGCCTAATGGTTTATGAGTAAGTACTATCAACCGGTAGATACTAGAAGAAATTTTGAGGAAACTAAAAATAACAAACGATAAGAGAACAAGTAAATATTGTTGTAACTCAATACATATCAATTAAAATAATAATAGCCAGGGATGATATAATTGAAACAGATATTTCAGTAAGTCAAAATAATTATGATTGCAATCGATTGTAATCGTACAGGCCCTCCAAGTAAGTGGCAAGCGAATTCATCGACAGTATCGAAATCGCTACGTACGTGAGATAGAACAAGATAGCAACGTCGGACGTCTCTTACTAACTCATGGACTCGCTGCCTATGACGTTTCCATCGATAAATGATTTCATTTATGTATGTATAATTTTTATAAGTGTATTATTTGTATATGTGTGTATATTCATTTATTTTTAAATATATTAATGTTGTTGTCTTGCAAAATATTTATTTAAATTAAAAATTGTTTTGTTAAATCAATGTACCGCTACTTCCTCTTTCTCTTTATCGTAACGGTTGACTGGTAGAGAATGCCAACAGGCATTGAGTCCGCCCTGAAGATATATTCTAATGTATGCAAAAGTATAAATAAACAAATAGATTCGCTTGTCACTTGTCTAGAGGGCCAATTCTACTGTTGAGTCCTATCATAATAAAGCAACCATTTCTGTAATTCCTTGTTCTTAGCAATAGTGTTATTTTAATAAAGACGTTGCTTTATGAGCATCATGTCAGGTAAAAAAGCGGTTAGATGCGAGCAGAACTCACAGGCCGAGGGTTTCATATATAAATATGACATTAAATGACCTTTATTGCATTTCTAAATAAATACCTAACAGTTATTATTATTGATCCAAAAACCCTTCAAACCAAAACAAAACTGTTTGACGGTAGAAACACGAATGGGACAGAGGCGCTTAAATAAACGACTTTTGTACAAAGTCTCTTTCTTACATCGGACATAACCAGTCATAATGATGCCATGATCTCCGCTGTCGAAGCATTTTCTTCTACCCCCTCTTCTTCAGTTATTTCTAATCTTACTAATATAATTAAATTACCTAGATGATATCAATACATGGATTTATCTAAGAAAAATTAATGTAAAAAATAAATGAAGTGTATTAATAAATCCCATAAATATGTAAAAAACAACATTTTTTACAAATTTTGTCTATATGTATGTACGTTCCGCTATCACGCTGATGCTGCACCAAATAGGATGTAGTTTTCACATTTTTATTCCTGAAGGTCTAAGTTAAAATCTGATATATGTTTTATCCTGATATACTGTATAAAAGTGGCCTATTTCATTGATTTACCTACTTCTGAAGTCCACAAGTACAAAGTAGCGGGCAATAAGCTAGTTAGAACAAATGATAATCATCAAGTCTCACCTGGTATCGCGTATACAATGGTGAAACTAAAAGTTCCGAATTGTTTTCTTCTCTCCGGACTTGGCCATTCTTCTGTACAAAAGTGTACATCTCTAGTTTCTATCTGGAAAGAAATATAATTATTTAATAATCATGCTTAATTTTTATATGACTACTAAACTTAGAAGTTTCTAAATTTGCCCATATTTTTTTTTTTACAGCTTAGAATGAATGGATGGAAAGTGGTAACCGTCGCCTATAGACATGAGCAATACCATGGACATAACAAAGTATACTGTTTCGCCCATGATACCCCCCATGCGTTGCCATTCCTGGGGACTCAGGTGTTATTCCTCTGTACCCTGTAAATTCACGCCATATCCCACCTTTCAAACCGAAACACACCCATGCAAACACAACTGCTCCACGGATTTCACTTTCCGCCTTCTAAATTTAATTATTATAAATATATAAATCATTCCGTCGTCACTCAGATGTATCTCGTTTCTCTAAAAACATAATAATGTTATGTGAAATATCCTCATTTCATTTCGCGTTAGATTTAATTTGAGGATAAAGAATTCCGCGCGGTTAGCCGCAGTTTCCTTATTTATTATGTATTAAGAAAAACAAACACATAAAAATCCGAAATCAATAGCTTCTGCGAACCTTGGACGGAGATAAAAAGGGATGATTTGAGTACCTTCTCTGTAATTTTCGCCCTGGTAATGGAAAGTAAGGAGATAGCTAACTTAATTTATATCATATTAAGATAAAAAAAAATACTATTATGAACTATCAATGTTTATGTTACGCCTACAATATACTGCATGTTATGTCACTTCCGATTGTGAGTGGCTGATATATAGTTACAATATCCATATATTAAGCAATAACGAAAATATCAATTATAAAATATATATTAACTTCACCAGACTTTGTATAAAAGTCGTTTGCTTGGGCATCTCTGTTTCATTCGTGTTTCTACCGTGAAGCAGTCGTGTTTGCATGGCTGCATTTCGGTTTCATAATAAATTATCATAATTGGAATAAAATTAGCGAAGATATAGTTACTTAATAAGGCCAAAAAATATAGGTTAATTAAGAAGTTTTTCTTTTAAGTCGATTAAAGATTAAGTTACGGCAAAGTTGTGATGTAAGGGTTTTAGTTAAAAAAAAAAACACTATCATACTTTTAGTAATCGGATTATATTATCAATCATTATTATTTTCCGTTAATAATTTTTATATTATATATACAATATTTTACTATATAGTTTTCTATATAAAAATAAATTATAGATTTGTTGCTAAGCTCAAAACTCGAGAACGACAGGATCAATTCGGCCAATTTATTTTTTCAAATATACGTCGAAGACCGAGAAAGGTTTTTATGAAAAGAAAAATTGGATAAATTGCCCGGAAAAACATAAAAGCTATATATTTTTTTTTTTCATACAAACTGTTGCTAGTGGCCAAACCAAACATTTTTATCAAATGTTATAAGGATAGTCACACTTTATTTCTACGAAATAACAGTAATAGTTACAACAAGGTATCTTAATAAGCAAAATACGTAACAGAATTGTGAGCTAGATTGAGCAAGATTCGAAATTTTGTTTTTTGCTCTTTGTCCTGCTTTTTTTTTTCTACACGTCAAGTACACGTCTTGCTTTTAACAGAACTATGTTAATAGAATGATGTTTGTCGAATCCGCCAGTTTAAAATATAATATACTAAAATAGACGTAACTCAAAAGAAAATTACTATAAGACCAGGACGAGAGTAAACCCTGTCTATTGTAAAAGGAAACATTAAAAACGATTGGCCAAGTCAAAATTGGTTAACGAATATAATCGAATCAGTATGGACTGTGAGAATTATAATAAAATGTATTTTAGAGAAATAATCTTATCTTGTAATTATTCTATTTCGAATAACAATCGCTTTGTCCAAGGAACATTTGCTTTGAAAATTGTATAGCAAAACATTATTACTGAACCAGGTGTTATCTTGCGGATGTCCATTTCACTGGGTTTTTGTTTAGAATTATTTTGTTTAATTCCGCTACCATTAGTATGTGTGACTGCCAACACTCAAAGAGTAAGCACCATCATTATAACCACCAGAAGTAGTACGAACCCCAAAAAGCAAATTCACAAATTTCGCAGTTTGGGCCGAGTAGAGATCTCATTATTTGCTTGAAAATGCCTCGTTTAGAGGTAAAAGACGTGTTGCAAAATATGTATGTATAGTATAAACAAAATGGCAGTCTGAGATTGACTAATATAAGGTTGTGGAACTTCTGGTAGTAATAGTGGTCTTTGAGTGTTGGCAGTCACACACATACTAACGGTAGCGGAATTAAACAAAATAATTCTAAACAAATAACCAGTATATAATATCAAATAATAAATCAGTGAATAATATCAAATTCGATTTATACAATACATTTGAATGTTACAAATGTTTCTTAATAGCCAAAGATATAGAGAAATATATTTGCATGGGCCTGTGTGTGCAGAAAGAAGTATTGTACCTTTGTTTATTTAGGTTTGTTTCCTTCATCTCTGAGGTGACGGAGCAAAAATAGTACGGGTCGTCAGACCTTTTCATGCCTAATCTATCGTAAGTGGCGACTAAGGGAACAAACCACCATATGCCAGTGAAGAAGAAGGAAAATCCAAAATAAAATCCGTATAATAATTTTTATAAATATCTCGAAACAATACGAGTATTAGGTTGACATTGTCCTACGGAAGCAGGTTTTTTATTAAGTTGAAAATTGATATATGTACCTCTAATCAAATTGTTTATAATTACTTCTCTCCATCTAAAGGTTACCTGGAAGAGATCGCTCTTAGCGATAAGGCCAGCCATTGTTTTCTTAGTGTAATATTTTGTTGCAATTGTTTATATTTATAATATGTTTACTATTGTAATCTTATGGAGAAAATAACAAAGAGTTATCTATCTATCTATGATGACCCAATTTATGAGAAATTTGAAGTATCCTCAGCATCTATGTAAAGCACTTCGTTCCTTTTTTTATACCAGGATAGTGGCAAACAAGCATGTATGATTCTTATCTTTTCTGCTCTTAGTGAGTAAAATACTAAGTACTAAGTACACTTGCTTATGCGTATTTCAATAAAGAAAAGCAGCTTATTATTGACTTTAAAAGAAAAAATGTAAAAAAGTGATAGCATTTTTCTATAATAGTATTTTTCTGTTTCCTTTTTAAGTTCTTTTTCTTTTCTCGTTTTTTTTTTTTTCATTGTGCTATTACATATACAGTTGTATGTAATCAAGAAAAAATATTTTTCTCACTAGCTTTCACCCGCGACTTCGTCCGCGTGACAGGGAATGTTTCCTGGCCTATTAAATGTGTGTGATCATATACAGACGTGGTGCTTGTTTGTGTTTGGCCAGAGGAGTATTATATTCCTTGGTCGAAACCTTGTAAATATTTTTACTAACTAATTTTTAATTCTTTGGATTTTGGAGAGGCGTGCCATGTTATCGTAGACTATAGTTTGGGTATACTTTCACAAGTGGTGTTGTTTTTTTTATTTATTTTTTTATGATACACAAAACGGCAACGGTTTCGATTCGATTCAATTAAAACTGTGTAGTTACGTTCGATATCGAGGTATAAAACTTAAAAGGTTTTGAAAGGTTATGACAATAAATTTATTAACCCAGCTGTGGGACTTCAAAAGGTTGTTATGGCAACAATCTGAATTAAGATTGGTAACGCGTTCCAATCAAGGACTTTTAGTGGCTAACCCATTTTAGTCAAGTTCTCATTTCGGTTGTATTTTTTTTATATTCATTACGTGATATAAAATCTTCGTCCAGTATAAACAAATTTGGATATTTCCTTTTCTTTCCATGAACGCTCAGGTTATGGAATGAGCTCCTTATCCAAGAGACTATAGTATGGGATTCCTAAAAAAAAGGCTAAAGCGGTTTGTTCAAGGCTGTAAATCGCACGCGTAATGCCTCTGCTATTGTAGGCGTTTATAGGCTACGATAACTGTATACCACCAGGTGGGCCGTATGCTTGTTTGCCACCTCAGTGGTATAGAATCTATCTATGAAACCGGTCTGAAAGGATACACTTTCAGATTGGTTTCACAGAAATTTTATTACTAATCGGTTCCGTCATTTTATTGTTAACAGTTTTATAAATTCTTTTTATAATATAATAATTACCGGTTTAACTTACCCGTTATTAGTTCAAGAAAGCTCGGTTAGTTTTGGAATCATACGGGACCCCTAATCTTAAGCATTAATTTAGTTTTAAAATAAAAATAATTGGTTGCAGCACGAAAGTCGTGTTTTATTTGTGAAATAAAATCTCAAATTTTTATATTAACTGTACAGAGTGTAATACATATATATATATATTCATATTTACATTTGATAAACGTACTTTGCTTTGATTTGATTCCAACCAATATACGGTTACATTGAGTCGGATGAATACGTAAGGGTAAACAGAGGCTTAATGGATACAGATGTTGTTGACAAGTGAATGCCTGCTTTTAAGAATAAATCCTACATTTTTTATAAGCTAGGCGGATCGAAAGCCCAAAAGGTATATGAAACAGCAGCCAGTGAGGAAACATAATATGTCTCCACAGAGGAAACCGGTAAAAATACTGATAATAAAAGGAAAGATATTTACGATTCTCTTTCGGTAGACTCCTTTAAATATGCCCAACTAATTTAGCTTGGATTGGATAAATTTAGAATATGATTATTAAAGTTCTTTTGATGTTTTTATTTGCAGAAAATGGTAGGTTACCATTAGCAATTTAATATTTTCTCCAAAAAGAAAAATCAATTTTGATCTAAAAAAAAGTTGTTTTAGTAAAAATATTATTAGAATAAAAATATTTTATTTATTTCCAACATAGATGTACATGTATATATATGTATATATATATATATATATATATATATATATATATATATATATATTCTGAATGTAAATATATATATATATATAATTCTAGAGTCCTGATTTCTAGTGTAGGTATAGCCTGTATTTTAGAATTATATATTTTGTAGTGAGTTAGAAGATATAATATTTAAATAAAGATATAGTTAAAAATAGGGTTGTCACGTGCGCGTTGCAGACCCCGAATTTCTTGTATTTATTAAAATGAATATTCTTCATTTAGCATGCTTACTAATATTATGAACGTGAAATTCGGATTGTCTGTTACCACTTAGCGCTTTAACGGCTTAACCGATCGCTATGAAATTTGATATACACGCACTACTCGTATATGGAATAGAGGAAGACATAAGCTACCTTTAATCTCGATCAGTGAACAAATTCCGGTGACGCGAACGAAGTCGCGGGGAAAAATTAATGTATAAATATAATTTATTAACGAAGATTTAATGAACTAGTATCGGAAACAACAAGTTATCGACATAAGTTCATTAAATTCTCGTTAATGAATACTTATTAAATCGTTTGTTCTGACTTACTATCAACGGACAGCTAAAAATACCAAGTCTAAAAAGCTAAAATTTGGAATATAAGTTTATTTTAAAATATAAGCATCCACTTGGACATCTCCAAAGTAAAAGCAAAACGCATCCCAAGTGTACAAAACTACGGGCAATAACTAGTTAAATATTTTTTTTATACAACTTAGAATGGCAAAGAAGCTGACAGTCCACCTGATGGAAAGTGGTAACCATCGCCTATAGACATGAGCAGTACCATGGATATAATAGAGTATACTGTTTCGCCCATGATACCCCCCATGCGTTGCCATTCCTGAGGACTCAGGTGTTATTCCTCTGTACCCAGTAAATTCACGCCATAAAATATAACATTACGCTATATTTTGATCTGACTTTACAGTTTTTAGTAAATACTACTTCTTGATATTTCTAATTGTATATAACCTATATAATTGTTAATAACACATTTAAAAATTAAATATATTACCGTTTTTTTAGAGTCGGAAACTTGCACGTGACATCTCTAGTGTTGCAGGCGTCTATAGGCTACAGTGACCGTTTACCATCAGATGGGTTGCACACTTGTTTGCTACCTTTGTGGTATAAAAAAACCAACAATCTATTGATTTGACTTACTCGTGTTGTATAATTTACTCGACAATTAATGATTACGTTTATGGTCGCTTTATAAAGGTCAAAGTTCGAGCAGACAATTATTTAAACGGAAATCTTATCTTTTTATATATTTCCGATCAAGAGAATATCTCTCCTATGAAAATTATATCCAATTGATGACTTCTTGTTTTACCTGTTGTTATGTAAATTTTGTTTATTCCACCAATATTTTCCTTAATCATTATTTATTAATCCACCTTTATTCTCGGGATGTAGTAAGAGATTTCCTTCGTTTATGTTAAGAAAAAAATAAAAACACGAGTTGTCCCAGCTTGGGATTATGCGGCACTTATATATATATATATATATAAATAACTAAGTTTCGTTGTATTTTTTTATACAACATAGAATGCCAAACAAGCTGACGGCCCACCTAATGGAAAGTGGTAAAGTACCATGGACATAACAGAGTATACTGTTTCGCCCACAAATACATACCCATACGTTGCCATTCCTGAGGACTCAGGTGTTATTTCTCTGTACCCTGTTAATTTACTGCTATATCCCACCTTTCAAACCAAAACACAGCCATGCAAATATAACTGCTTCACGGTAGAAACACGAATGGGGCAGAGGTAGCCACCTCAAACCACTTTTGTACAAAGTCTCTCTCTGGTTATATTTTTACAACTATTGGATATTAGCAGATTATTTTATGATCGGGTCAATAAAATTCACTTGTTTGTTTACATTTTTGTTAAGTTCTACAGAACAAACTATAAACTTTGTTAACCCTTGAAAAACCCTAATACAGTATTTTTGAAAAAGAAGTGAAATTACAAAGAGCGGATACATAACACCATATTTCAAAAAAGGGTAGTTAAAAGTTTTCTATGCTAATAAACTTACCGATATGTTCTTATAAGCTTTAGCAATAATTGGCACAGTTTCTCTTCTTACAGAAGCCACTATGACCAGTGGTATAAATATTAGGAGAGCGGCGCACCACAGAAGAGCTAGCAGGAGGAGAGCCTGTCTCCTGCCGGGCGGGCGGAGTCTGGGCTCGGGGGATATCGACAACCAGCGATCCACTGACATGGCGGTGAGGGTGAACACGCTAGCTGCCACAGCTACGCCTGTAACAAATAAAAATACTAAAATCACATTTATATTCTCTCGTTTGCTTATCACTGAGAGTCGTAATCATACGATGATAATATATATGGACATACTAACAAAAGTCAATTGCTTGGGAACCTCTGTCCCATTCGTGTTTCAACCGTAATGCAGTAGTCTGCATGCCTGTGTTGCAGTTTTAAGGGATATCATGAGCGAAACAGTATAATCTGTTATGTCTATGGTACTGCTCATGTCTATAGGCGACGATTACCACTTTTCATCAGGTGGGCCGTCAGCTTGTTTGCCATTCTAAGTAGTATAAAAAAAATCTTTTAAACATTTTCATTTATTTTCTTTTGTATACTGTTATGCCCGTGATATTCCTGAGGTGTTATTCCTTTGCACCCAGTAAATTCACGCCATATCCCACCCTTCAAACCGAAACACAGCCATGCAAACACAACTGGTAAAAACACGAATAAGACAGGTACCTAAGTAAACGACTTTTGTACATTTTTTTCTATAATATGTATATGGCTATGGTGTATTTCACATGGGGAAATAATCTGCCATCAGATTTAAACCATTCATTTGAATTTATTGTTTTCGTTTTGGGCAAACTGTCCCTTCCACTGTATATTATCAATAAATACCAAAATCGTAAAAAAAAAATCATGTATTTTTTTATGTAACTTTGAATAGTTTGAAAATACAGTATCTGTTGTCTATTAAAATGTTCCGTTTAACAAAAACGTTTTAAAAAACCTTTATTTACTCGTGTTTTATTTTTATTATATATTTATCATTTAAAACGGCTTATAACAAATATTTTAGTAGGCTTGTATCTAGTCTAGTTAATATGAAACGCTCCCACGTTATAAAATGTTTCATTAAATTCTTGAAGGGGAAAAAAGGTCTGGTGAAAGATGGGTATTATTTATTTATTCATTAGTACATAAATGTGTACATGGCAGACTCAATGCTAAAAGCATTCTCTCACAGCCAACCATAGGGCAGCGTCAGAATACTCGAATGCGGTACTAGTAATTATTGATATACATACATACTAAAATTATATATATAAACGAATAAATATATATAAATAACAAATATACTTACACATTTACAACATATATTATATTATACACGAAATTGAGAATAATATAAAGTACTTACTTATTAATATACTTATTACCTATAATTTTAATAAACAAAATATTTATTGAAAAATAATATATGTAGAATAATGGATTTTTTTAATTAAAAAATAAAGTGGATAATAAATATCTGTAATCAGCATCTTCATCATATCAGCCGTTAATTGTCCATTGCTGAACATAGGCCTCCCCCTATTGAGGGGTTTTACCAGTAGTTGCCACGCTTGGCAAGAAGGTTGGCAACCGCAGGTAACCTTTAGTGATGTTTAAAGAGGGACGCTGCTGCTCATCTCTCAAGCGTTAAGTTCCCTCATTCGCCTCGCTCTCCTGCTGGCGCCCGCGCCAGCCGGAGAACCGTCAACAGTACGCCCGCACCAGCACACACCGTGGCCTGACAAGGGCAATGGACTTCGAGCTACACATCACGTCGGGGTCACCAATTTGGCTGAAGTTGTTAAGAAGACTCGATGCGGTTTGTGGAAGTGGTAAATAACGAGAATAATTCTAGATTTAAAATGTAAACTTGTATATTGAATAGGCTACCTAGCACAGAGGTTGTATCGCGAGTGTGTATAAGATAAAACATTCAAGTTACGTTAATTAATTTAGGTCACTTACAAATTAGGGAACGGTGCAAAGTTCGCTTTGGAATTATGAATAATCATTATGCAATATTACGTGTAGGCACAATACCCATGGGAAAGAAAGAGAAATACATACATATAATTCCAATAATTAAAAATACGAATATAATTCTTTTACCATCCAATTCAAAATAGATTGATTTGGATGGTATGGCTCGAAGTAACTGTAATTTATATAAGATTTACTTTTTCTTCCCCAAAATATAACGTCTGGCAAATACACTTAGAATTCGTAACAAGTTCAGACATACCAAACGTGATAAGAGGATATAAGGATATTTCCAGGAAAATACTGTAAATGCATAGATAATCAGTGTCGTACTGGAAACAATATTCGATGGTTGCCTAAACATACAAGAACTAGTTGCTAGGCAATCGAAATATTGGAACGAGGAGACAAAAGTTCTGATATGATTGAGGAGAAAAAATTTAGAGTTTTCTACTCTTATCTCACTGTCTTGTTTCGCTAGTGTGGTCGTGTGGTCCCGGCATAGAATAGGCCATCCCTTTCTTTCCCGTGGGTATTGTAAGAGGTGACTAAGGGAGGGCAAGGGATGGGCAGTAAAGTCTCTCTTAAAACATCTCTAAAGCCTATCTGCGGTTGCGAATCCGATTGTCAAGCGGGGTAACTACTGGGTAAAACCCCCCAAGAGGGAGGTTTATGTTCAGTTCAGACAGTTAAAAGCTAATGTGATGATGTTATGATCCTTCTGTCTACACAGACAAGATACTTGATGTTAACGTAGATAGATTTTTATCCTACCCATGTTATTTATCCAACAGCAAAACTAATATGGAAGAGCAACGTGGGTGTAAATCCTATTGTTTGATGTAATTTCTTTTTCACAGATAATTCTAAGAAAGTAGGGTGGAGTTATATAAAAAACACGATGTTATATAATCGAAGATTCTGGCTCACAAGAAACACTGACATCAATTATGACAAAACCAGTTATTTTGCTCCAAAAATTAAACTGCATAAAAATTAAAATGTCATGTTTCCTATTTTTGTTTTAAGGCGAGATCAGCAGTTTTTTGTTCTTTATGTAATTTTTTATAAATAAAATTTAGTGACTTATAAATTTTATTACTTTCATTTAAGGAGTATTATATTGCGTATTAAATTGTTTATTTTATTACGCTAGCGTTCTTAGGTTCCAAGATTTGTAGGTTTCTTTAGATGACCCACATTCATTGCTTTCGAATGTATATAAAAATATATATACTTACCTACATAAATACATAATGAATTATTATAACTTGCCAATTGACAATTATAATTCTATTGATGATAAATAAAAACAACACAAATAAAAGAAAATAAGGCAGAATAATACTTACAACTGAAGTACAAAGTATAAATAAAAAGTACAAAACATTGGTAAGAATGTATGACCTTATAAACTTGGTGTTACAAACTCTTTATAATTTGTGTTTCTAATATTTTATTCTTTTAGTTGTTAATTTTTTTTTTATAAATTTTCACTACAACTTTTCAACACGAACCGGCGTTTTTTCCTACAATCAGTTAAATATATTATTGGTCCTTCGAGCCGGATCGTGTTGAAAAGTTGTACTGACAAATTATATGTAACATAAGGTATCCCATATGTCAATTTATATGTAACATAATTATATACAAGTTACCTTGTATATAATTGACTATCTTGCACACCGTCTCCCCGTAAAACCAGACGAGGGTGATGGCTTTGCTCAGCTGGATGGGCATGCACACGCCGGTGACGAGGAGGTCTGCCGCGGACAGGTTCACCAGAAATATGTTGGTTACACTGCAACAAAACACATTTAACCTTTAACATTACTTGCTTGCTTATAATTTTTAAGTGCTTATTTTAAAGTTTTATTCATTAATTGATAAGAATTTTTATTTAAATCTACCAGCATTTGAGGATTTATCCCTATATTAAAATAATTTAAAATATTTCCTATACATTGTTTAAAAAATTTCTTCCTAAGTGATTAAATATGGTTTATTTGATGTAATAATCATTTCATCCATTAACTGTCCACTGCTGAACATAAGCCTTCCCAATAAGGAGGAGTTTTGGCAGTAGTTACCATGCTTAATAGCGGGTTTTTTTTTGATGAGTGAAAATGGTATGGTAACCCCGCCTGCGCTAACGGGATACGCTGGCGGAGCACCAGTGAAGGGTGATAGATGAGAATGAAAACAGGCCAGTTAGCCCATCATGATGAATTCATCAGGAATTAACCATGATAGTTTCCAGGGAGAACCGCGAGGAGGTCGAATTGGTTAGGTATATTGCTAGCAATAAGATTCTCATTATCCATTACTAACAATCCCTTTCCCCCCGCTTAAAAGCGGGTTGGCAACCGCAGTTAGACTTTTAGCAATGTTTTAAGAGGGACGCTGCTGCCCATTATTCTGTCATTAATTTCCTTTAATCGCCTCTTACGACACCCACAGGATAGGAAGGGCTGGTATATGCGATTCCGGGACCACAATAATACTTGTATTTATTTGTAATTTTATGTACCAAAGTACATAAACTATTGCGATAAATTTCATTATTTTAAATACCTTTTATCTTTAATAAGACAGACTTTCTTTTTAGATATAAAAAAGGACACGGTTTTGTAATAAGACGTTTAACCACGTACTAAAGACCTGTCTATTTACATTATACAAGTTAAACTTTTTTGTAGTAAAACCGTAAAAGTTTACGAGGATTGAAATCGCTAGGGAGTTTCTGTCATCTCGTAAGTTACTGTTTTAAATGACTCTCTTCTTTTAGGTGTGCCGTTGGTTAACCTCTTAGTTTTATTCTATAATTTATAACGTATTTTATTTATTTATTTATTTAAATGTGGGGGTATAAAACAAAACTAGACAATTTTATGTATATACATAACCAATTATATCATATTTAATCGTATATGTACACATATATATAAATATAAAAATATACTTACACTTTTAGATTGGTGCTATTGAATTTTTATCAAAATCGGTTTAGTATTTTAGTTTTTAAACTACTAACTACTACGGTCAAGTCGTTTTATTAGAAATAAACTTATTTTTTTACAACCCTTTTTTATATATGCCCCTCTCCATAAAGCTTGTTTAAGCCGTTAAGGTGCCAAGACTTAATAAACATACGGAATCACTTTTACATTTATAATATCAGTTAGATTGATAGATAGATAATTTATTTACATTACATACAGCACACAAATTACAATAAAAAAAAAACATACACATAATACATAGCAAAAGAGATAAAAGAATAAAAATAAAAAAGCACAAATAAAAAAAAAAACAAAATATATAAACTAACAATCTCCTTTCTTTTCCTTCCTTCATGCGTGTGCCATAGTAACACAAAATGGTCACAACTCAGTTTATTGCTTTGCCCTTAAGAGCAAAACACTGATATTCTGCTGAGGCCAAGAGTCAATTTTTAAGTTAATTTTTATCTTGGTTACTTGTTAATATATTTATGTCATACAGACGAAGTCGCGGCCAAAGCCAGTTTAATATATGACGGGTATGCTGATTTAAAAATCAGAAATATAAATATAAATATACACTTATTTATGTGATAATACGTCACTATTCACCCGAATTCAAAAATAAAAAGTTTCGATTCGGTTGTGACATTTTATCTTTGTTAACTCATAATTCTGTCAGTTTGAATTTTTTTTTTAAAAGTATATATTTATAAATTGGTCCTTAAAATTTTTATTGAAAAGTTTAGTAGTTTAGTTTTATAAACAAAATAACCTTAGGTTTAATTAAAACTAAAGTAAGATTTTTTAAGAAACACAATTTTAAATTACTATTATAATTTTTAAGTCAAAAGGCATTATAGTGATGAAATATGGGGTATGAAGATATATCTTTTATACCTTAGGTCTTAACAATACAATAAGATCATATATCAAAGCATATTCAGTGATTCTATGATGTTCATTATCTAAAAGCGACGATTACCTTCCATCTAATATTGTCAGCATTGTTTTACAACACAGGGGGCAAACGAGCATGCGGCTCACCTGATGGTAAGTGACTACCGCCGCTCATGATCACCCACAACACCAACGGCATCGCAGGTGTACTGCCGGCCTTTTAAAAAGGAATATGCTCTTTTCTTTAAGGTTATGATGTCGTATCGGTTCGGTAATACTGCTGCTGGAAGTTGATTCCACAGAGTGGTCGTGCGTGGAAGAAAGTCTTCACACTTCACTCGTCTAGATGGACCAGCATTAGTAATTCCAAGTTAAAAAAAAAATATAAAAACAATTATAAATCAGATTTCAATATACATTTATAAACTCACCAAGAAGAAGTCCGCCATAATTAAATGAGGAAGTAACGTCATGATTAATTATGCCTCAGTTTGGGACAAAAGATATTTTTGCGTCATTGACTTTCAAGAAATTGCCAGAAACGGCGGAATCTCTTAAGATTTAAATAATTAAAGATTGTGTCTCACAAAAAAGACGACTTCAATTGTGATAAAATTTGTTATTTTTATTTTTTTATGATTCGTAGTTTGGGCGCCGAAACACGTGCCGCAAAACGTGCGCAAACAAAATGGCTGTTGGAGATTGATAACTAATATGAAAGGTTGTGGAACTTCTGGTAGTAATAGTGGTGACCACTCTTCGGGTGTTGGCAGTCACACACATGCCAATAGCAGCGGAATTAAACAAAATAATTCTAATTCAGTTATATTCTATCTAGTTCTAACCTAGTTCAGTAAAATATTATAATTTTTATTCAACCGCCGGAAGGGGGGAGGGGATAAAGTTATTTGTATGTCTTTGGATACCTAAATTTTGAAGTTCAGAAAAATGTACACGGAGTCTCAATTCGGTATGTACTTTTTATGTTTCTTACTTTATAATTCTGTCAGTCTTTTTTTCATAAAAAAAAAAAAACTTACAGTTTGGTCCATAGAAATTTTATCACACATACATACATATTGGTCACGCTTGTCTCCCATTAGGGAAGGCAGAAACAATGGAACGCCAAATGCTTCGATTTTATCAATATCTGTTTAATAGTTTAGTTTTCAAATAAAAACAAATGGTTTTGTCAAAATTGATATTAGTACTCGCACAATTGCCATGTGTTCCCGGCATAGAATAAGCCACCCCTTCCTTTCCCTTGGGTATCGTAAGCAGCAGCGTCCTTCTTAAAATATCTCCAAAGCCTAACTGCGGTTGCCAATCTGCCTGTCAAGTGTGGCAACTAGTGGCAAAACCCCCTAAGGTGGAAGCTTATGTTCAGCAGTGGACAGTTAAAGGCTGGTATTATACCGCTGATGATAACTCGCATAAACATTTTTTTTTATTATTTAAACCTCCACATAAGGTACCGTCTCATAATTTGTCACAATAGTTTCTTTCTTTCTTTTTCAAATGACTTGATGGACTTAATATATAGGGTGTCGTTAAATGCGTCTTTATTATGGTAGTGCTGCGGACGTGACGGCTCTATAAAATAAATTTGGCAGCCATAAAATGTCATAAAAATAGTAGAGAGTAATAGTGGGTTTATTATTAGTACGTACATTTCCACAGCCAAGTTGAGAAGTCGATAAGAACTAAGTAAATTGAATTTTATTTTATTTTATTTGGAAAACAAACAATTTTTTATTACCTTCAGTGTATATATGTACATATAAATAACATAAAAAGCAGCAACATTACCACAAGTAATTAGAACATATTTAATATCGATGTACTGGGGGAAAAGGGATTGTTAATAATGGAGACTGAGAATCCCATTGCTAGCAATATACCCAATCAGGTCGACCTCCTCGCGGTTCTCCCTGGAATCTATCATAGTTGATTCCTGATGAATTCATCATGATGGGCTAACTGGCCCGTTTTCATTCTCATCTATCACCCTTCACTTGTGCTCCGCCAGCGTATCCCGTTAACGCAGATGGGGTTACCATACCATTTTCACCTATCAAAAAAAATTTATGTACTTTCAACATACACTAACTTAGGATCCAATTCTCCCCTCAACAGAATGTTATCATCCTAAAATAAAGCCGTAAACGTTGACCATGATATCGACATCTTTGGAAATTCTTTAGTGCAGTTTACTACGCTTATTAATAATATAGATTAAACATTAAGTCTTTACTAATTGTATGATTGTTACTTTAGTATATATTAACACTTATCTGTAAGAGCTGTATACGCCTCTAACTGTACGTCACTACGAACACTCAGGTTGTGGAATGAGCTCCCTGCCGAGGTTTCCCAAGAGACTACAGCATGAGGTTCTTCAAAAAGGGGGTAAAGAGGTTTCTTCAGGGTCGGCAACGCACGCTTAATACCTCTGGTATTGCAGATGTTCATAGGCTACGGTAACCATTTACCATCAAGTGGGCCGTATGTTTGTTTGTCACCTCAGTGGTAATAAAAAAATTATATGTTCATCTAGTCTTAGAAAGAAAGAAAGAAATGTTTTTGTTCAAGTAAACATAGATTTAAATATTTTTGAATGGTCATTCTTCAAGTCAAAATGTTGGGACACTTGATGCGACACGACGAACTTATGAACATTATAATAGAAGGTAAGATAGAAGGAAGGAGGGGAAGAGAGAGACCGAGACATAGTTACATCAGGCAGATCAAGGAAGGAGTTGGTGTCGTGTCGTATCAAGAGGTGAAGAGACTCGCTGAAAATCGTAGTGAGTGGCAAGAGCTCCACCGGCAAGAGCGCAGCTCTTAAATAGGATAGATAGGTCATTTTTCATTACTTACTTAATTATAATATTGTACA